TATTATCAAATTTTTACTCCTCACAAACCTCTCTATTCCAGGTCCACTCTGTTTTAGCGATAAATCCAAGAAATTCCATCTTTTCTCATGCGTTCCCCTTTTGTTTTGCGCTGTCATTTGGATCCGCATTTCTGTGGATATTGAAACCTATCGATTCGAGACTTTATTGGGACATGCCAGACTGAAATAATCCTTCTCAGCGGCCACAAAAACCTAGATGACTAGATCTTGCTATAATCTCTTTTTTTCAGGCAGTTTTCATGATGGGGAATGGCACTGATCAAGAGTGAGTTATCCTTGTTGTTCAAATTAATTGCAGTTAATCAAAGGTATTTTTAATAGCTATGAAGCCTTGGAGGAGATTTTTGCTTTCAATGCACAATCTGACCATGCTGACTATACTGAGTACAAGTTCTTGGCTGCGTTCATATACAGTACTCTAGCGGTGGGAGGGTAAATATCTCTACAGCTAATATGCTCCTATGTTTCATATTTACTTTTTCTTTACTTTCAGCCTTGCGGTCAATATTCTCTTTTGTTGCGTTATTTGGAGAACAGACAAATTGCATTCCGTGACACATATGTTAATGACAAACCTAGCTGTTTCAAACATCTTTTTCCTTATGTTTCACCCTCCATATTTTCTGACAACGTTTATACTAGAGTCTAATTGGAAATTTGGTAAGTCAGAAATTTCAAATTCAGTTTCTTAGATGATCTCATTCTGTGCGTAATCTCTTCATTCTAGGAACGCTGATGTGCAAGGCATCGTTTTCCGTTGGATATGTGACAGTAACGGGTTCGTTAATTCTCTAGCAGAATAAGGCTCAGTCATTGCTCTAATGCTGTTGTGATGAGAAAAGATTATGAGAAAAGCTACTAAGCAGCTGAAGCGCCGTATCAATTTACTCGTAAATAAGCGTTCGACGTCACGAAAACAATGAAATGGCTGGAGTTTGAGGGAGATAGTGAAATTAAGATTCCTTTATTTAGGATCGTTCTACTTTATGTGTTTGGTGGCTATCGATCGATGGTTAGCGATATTCTATCGAAAGAGGCGGTTAGACAGAAGACGATGTATTTACTTAACTACTGGAGCATGGATATTATCTGTGGTCGTTGCATCACCTTACATATACAAGAGTCAGGTAAATTTGAGAGTTTCTCTCCAGCTCAAAGGGAGTCCATATTTCTCACCAAAAAATTCTTTAGGCCGTTGAATTAGGAATCTAAAGATTTTGTATTCAAATAATTTGGAAATTAAACTCATCTCAAGTTGAATGCAGATTCGAAACGACTGCACAAAAAAAGCATATGTATGTGTGAACAACTCCTTGAAAGATTGTGGCTATCCTTATATTTTGGAACTTCTAAATTTTGAACCTC